CTGTCGGCGCGCTGTTGTCGACGCGCTTCAGCGGTCATTCGTCGGCGTGGTTTTGTCGGCGCAGTTTTGTCACCGCGGTTTAGTCAGGCGTGCTTTTGTCGTTCGCGCATTTATGGTGGAACCCCTTCTTTAACCTTTATCCATTGTGGTAACCTTCCATAACCTTTTTCACGATTGTGTCTGCTTATTTTCAGTACTGCCTTTTTTGGTTTTGCAGGCTTCTAAAAAAGAATATGCTGCCATTATTTTGTGGAGCACCACAACTTGGAAACAATTCCAGAGCTTACCTTTCCACAATCTGACCGTGACACAGATGTCTTTTTCCCCAAATGATAAATTCTTGCTAGCAGTTTCAAGAGACAGGAATTGGTCACTTTGGAAATCGAATCGTATCACTCTAACAGAATCAGGTAAGGTTGCTGGTTGAAAATTGATGCAGCTTTTAAAACTGTTTAAAGAAAAGGGGTCTAGATCTTTTTTTAAGAATGCCTTTTAATTCCTTCCAAAGTTTTTTTTTTTTTTTTGGGGGGGGGTATTCCTAAAAAATTGGGGACCAAGATGTATAAAATGTGGAAGGGTTGTTTTAATTTGGCTTCAAAGCTTTGAAGTAATTCTGTTCTTCCATTTCTAAAAGTGAAACAATGCCATTTCTTTGGTTTGACAGCTCATCCCAGGAAAAGCTTTCTGTGTAATGTAGTAGCTGCGATAATTCACTGCCATATCTGGGTTTTTTTTATAGTGTTTGCTCTCATTGATATTAATGCATGGGGAAAAATATATTGGCTTTAGGCTAATGTACTTTTTAAAAGCAGAAATATTAATTTGAATTCTGCAAACCCAAAGCTTTCCTTAATATGTTGGAAACCGCATCAGAAATTAGGCTTCATACAAAAAAGTGTGTTCGATCCAGGGAAGGTTGAGAGTTTTGTTTAACACATTGCATTTGTGTCTGTCAAAAAAAGGTGTAATTGTGAGGGAGTGGGTAAGGTTTTTGTGCAAATCTCTGGCCGTATCACGACATCCACTCTGCAGAGGGAATTAAGTGAAGGAACGGCAATGGCTTGCAACAAGGAAGAAATTGCAAGAATGGAAGGAAGATTTACCAGCACTGAGCATCCAGCTGAAAGTGGGGAGCAGGGAGGGAGGGGCTGTGATTGTTATCTCAGCATAGCTGCATTGGGGAAAAATGGCCTGAAGCATCTGTCTTGCTAGTGTTTTGTAAGTAGTTTAAAAGACGCTGTGTTAAGGCAAGAAAATTGTCTTTTTTTTTCTTGAAGTTGATGAATGAGAGAGGCTGTCTCATTTGAACGGTCCACTCCAGGCACCTGATGGATTCTGTTGGGTTCCAGAGGGAGCTTGGGGTTGTTCCTGGAGCTCTGGTGCAGATTTACTCATCACTTAAAATGAGAGGGTGACCTTTTGCCCCTAGTGTTTAGAGGTTATGGGAGTCTGAGTAGGGAAGAATAGGCTTCAGCTTAACACCGACAAGACACAGTGACTGTGGGTTACTCCCACCACACCCCCAGCTCTTGAGATTTTCCATCTTAACTCTGCCTGGGAATCAGTGGTGGGTTTCAAAAATCGTTCGAACCTACTCTGTGGGTGTGGCCTCCTTTGTGGGAGTGGCTTGCCACCCATGTGACTGGATGGGAGTGGCTTGCCACCCATGTGACCGGAT